GATTAATTTTTTAATAAGTTAGAGTAGTTCTATGAAGAACTAAAAAGTGTGAGCAAAACCTCATATATACAATAATAATTACTAAAATCAAAGTAAATAAACCTATTTATACTAGGTGAATCTTTCAAAATAGTTTTGAAAAAATAATAAAAAATTTCTAAATAAAATAGAAAAAAAAATCTTAAATCAACTAATAAATTAATAAAATTCTTGTATAATAGCTTCTAGACCTTCTCACAAGGCCTTTCTGATGTCTGATTACCTTACAATCTTAAACTAATATAAAAAAGACCTCTAGAAACTTCTGATAAAATTTTAGCTAGATTCAATAATCGGATTGAAATTGATGCTTGTTGCCATAAAACTATACATTAAAAAAATAAGTCGAATCCATGTGTAAGTAGGAAAATATGCTGAATCCACAAGTCTTGTATGAAATAAGGTCCATATATCTTGAATTAACCTATTAAATGCCTTTTTACCCTTCTTAGTTGTTGACCTTTCAATGAGCCCTATTGACACATGTAATAGATCATTTCTTATAGTTTGAATTTATCATCTCCTATTTTTTTAAAAAGATTCGATCTTGAATCACTGAATCCTTAAATTGTTTGGATTTTGACTCGTTTTTGGAAGATATATCAACTTTATTTTATAATTCTTACCCCAGTTCTTATGTCTTGAATTTCAGTTTGTTCTCTAGTATAGCTGAGTGTTGTGTTTACTTCGATGTGTGTATGTGTAACTTTATTTTAGATGACGACAACGATGAAATAATAATAAAAATAAATAAATAAAGAGATATAAACTGATTTTAAAGCCTATTGATATAAACTCCGTGAATATAGAGATTCAGAAACTCAAAGTCAAATTAACTCTTTTCAAGAAAACTAAATATAGGCTTGTGATTGAATTAAATGCAATGATAACCTGTCTTGAGGAACCAAGACTATAAGTAATCAACCCCCATATAACACCTATAATCAAACATGAAAAAAGTATAGAAGACATCATAAAGCTTGGTTAATACTTCAGAGAATGTTAGGTGATTATAAATATATCTATTGATATTTCTTTTTTAATGCTCAAGTAAGAAACTAGTGATGTTGTTGGGATTTTATTCTTTAGAAACAATAGTGACTTATCATAGTCACACTTGTTTCCTCTACTTAAATATGGTTCTCTATCACTTGTTTTACATTGATAAGTGTTTTGTGATAGAGGGTGTACAAGTTTTCCTATAAATAATAGTTATAAACTCTACTAACTAAGGCTTTAGTGATAATGGGTTTGGGTATTCTTCATGCTTAGCATTTTCTTATTGAATATTTAGATATATGCCTTAGTATTTTCATTCTCTCATACAGGTGTTGAAATGAGAAATGAGTTTGACACAAAGATCATGAAAAATTAGGATAAAGCTATGATCAAGGCTATAATGGACTTTAGTAAATTCCTAAAACATTGTAGGGAAAGTCTTGTATAAATTATCACTCCTTATTATCATTAGCTCGATGATATTTTAACAGGTGAGTAAGAAGCTTAAGGGATGTAAGATAATAATGAATAGATTCTTTGGTGCTTTTCTGGGATACTTTAGTAGAAAACTAATGACTCTATAAAGACTTTGCTTTTTGAAATTAAAGGTGTCCCTATTTAGTGACATTTGTCTCTTCTACTAAAATATGGTTCTCTAGTACCCATTTTATATTAAGAAAGTCCTATCAGAGAAAGTATATAAGCATTCCTATAATAAGTAGTTATAAACTGCACTAATTAGGGTCTTAATAGTAATAGGTTCAAGTATATATTTCCATTTTAGCATTTCCTAATAGAATATTTAGAGATAAGATTTGGGGTTTTTATCTTCTCATTAGGTGAAGGAAAAAAGCTTAGTTGTTCTTTTTTAACTAAAATATTAGTGTTAAAATGAAAAATAAACTATAGAGATCATAAAGGCTAATGATGAAGAGAGGTTTAAAGGTGTGATACCACACCCAAGTAGATCCATGAAAAGTTGTTGGGAAATCTTGTGCATAACATCACTCTTTTATGTTATAAGATTTTTGATGTTTCTAACATTTTATATATGTTATATAGGATTTATAAGGTTGTTATAGTTCTCTAAATTAACCTTGAAGGAGAGATAATCTTTTGAGAGATGAGTGTGTAACACTTTAATAAATTAGAGAGTTTTCCACCTAGTGGGAATGAAGTTCTTTCTTATAAGGTTGTATAACCATTGATCTCTTCTCTTGTTTAGGTCCTTTTTGTTAGGGAACATACGAGCGAGAGTTAGATAAGGATTGATGGAGATAGCCACATATGTGGCTAGGATTTATAGAGGAATAGTTTTCACAAAGAGAGAGGCTTTTTTGTAAAGTAGAAGCATCATGCATACTTTGTATGTTATTATGTCATGTTCCTTCATGAAATCAAAGTTCTCTTAATGACTCCAATGCACGTAGTGGAGCATGTTGTATTTTTTATTGATGAAATGAGAGTTGTTCTTGTATGACTAGTGCAGTATTGTTGACCATTTATATTTGATGGGAAAGTTATTAGAGAGCTAGATTTTTTATGATAGAGAGATCAATTACTCTTTTATATTTTAGATTTTCATTAGCCATGGAAAAGTATGATGAGTCAAAGAAAATGAACTAACTTTAGTTAAGTTTTTCATAAACAACATTGTTAATGAAATTAAGAAAATCTTCACACAGAATATAGGATTTCCATGACCATTTGTAAGGTTAGGGAGTGATGGATTAAATGTAAACCTTTGTTTAGTCTAGCGTATGTTGTTTTTGGAAAACAAGTTCCCTTTAAAAACATCGAACACTTTAATATTTAAGTTAGTAAATATAGGATGATAAAATAATATATAAGAAAGAAAAATAAAAAATATTGTAGGAAATGCATATCTAGGTGTACTGGATAGAAATTGTATAGCTTGGCCTAACTATGGATCAATGATCTAGATCTTATGTGATTAAAACTTGCATATAATGCACCTTTGCATAACACTACCAGAAAATTGATAAATACAATAAAAAATACCGAGGGAACATTTTCGTTAGTAAATTGCTGATGGATGTTACCAACAAAAATATTCCCTCGATATTTACTGAAAAAATTATAGTGAAAAAAAATAATTAAAACAAAGTAAAAAAAACGATGACGTGCCATTTTTACCAACGGAATTACTAATATAATAAATTATGTCAGTAAAATCCATTAGTAAGTCCATTAGTATACAGTGAACATTGTTCATCATGTATATTGCAAAGGGAATCACCAACGAAAAATTTCATTGGTATTTTTCAGATAACTCTGAAACTGCTTATTTTTTAATTGCACTGTTAATTATTGTTCTTTATAGACAAAATCACTGACGGATTAAAAAGTTGTCGGTGTTATTTAGTGATTTTATGAAAAATTTTGATTAAATTAAATGTACAGACAGAATCAACAACGGATTCAAAAGTTGTTAGTGATAATTGATGGTTTTTGAAATATTTTTATTAAATTTAAAAATTAAAATTAAATATTGCAGGCTAAATATATCACTGATGAAATGATTAAAAATATTAATATTTAATAATCTATCGGTAAAACCATTGGTAAAACTCCCTAATATAAAGCCTATAATCCTTAATTTCACAACAGACAGGGCTCCTGTTTTCTTCTTCCTCTTTCTCCCCATATGTAAAAAACATCAATATCCATTTCTTTCTCTTCTCTGCTAACCTCAACTCCTTCTCTTTTCTTTCATGCTCATGTATGTATTCTTCTCCTTTCTTTTTTCTTATTAGTTTTTTAAATTAATATATTTTATGATTTTTTTTCCTCTTCTTAACTTCACTTGTAACCACATTAAGGTAAAATTTTCTCCTTTTTTTTTCACTATATTTTTTTTATTTAATTTTTAATTTTCTTTGTTCTTAATAATTATATGAATATTGTTGTAGGATTTTTTTATATTTTTTTCCTAGCATTTTAAGTATTATACATTATTGATTTATATTAATTTAATTATTTTATAGGTTTATAAAATAGATTTTTTTAATATTTTTAAACAATTATCGACATAATGATATATGGTATTTAAAAAAAAAATATTGACAAAATAAAATAAATAATTTTTTTTACATGCCTTTTCCATCTATAAATCTACTAGTAATAATATTTTTTTTAATTAGCAACGGAGTTACTGAATATTTTTCCTTTACCGTGCTGTGTATAGCAATGTGTTTGGATTGGCCAGTATCCCCGTTTTTGCTTTTAATCAGTGGCAATGCATCCTTTTTAATCATCTGCTGCTTCCAATGGAGATTATTCATAAAATTGAAGCCACTTTTCTATGCGTTCAGCCTCTTCTTCGCTGGATGGTAAGATTAAGCGTCAAGGAAATCAAACATGGAATAAGATTTGGAAATGGCAGGATCCCTCGACGAGTTATGGAAGCTTCTAATGAGTGGGAAGCAGCTCGTCAACAATTATCCCATAAATTCCCCCCTAAATTTTTTATGCGTGATTTATTTGATATAAGAATAATAATCTTCACAGGAGATCCCATGTATAGCTGCTGCCTCGCCCAAATTATAAATTCCAAATACTAATATTTTTAAAACATGTATTTAATTTGTTGAAGGTTTTTGCATGGAAGATTTACAGCTGTAGATAACGCGATAAATACAGAAATCGTTAGGAAACTCATTTAATTTAAAAGATAAAAATCACCTAATCAGATAATTATTATATTAGCAGTTTCTTCAAATTTCAACTAAGATGTACCAAAAAAATATTCGAAAAAGGATCCTATTCGCAGTAGAATTGTATTTCAAAACGCTACCCTTTGTCTTCCGTTGTTCAACCTGTCTTCTCTTGTAATTCCTATAAATTATCCTCTACAGTTTCTTGTCTTCCCTGAAGTTCTACTTGACAATTTCTTGCATCTCCTGTGTCTATGATCTTTTGCTATATATTTTGCGTAATAGATGGAGAATAATTTTTCACTTCTAAGAGAACAAAAAATCATAGCAGATGATGAAGAGTTGCTTGAGCTCTCGCTCTCTACTGGATCCAGGTCACAGCCATTATCGCAATCATCATCACAACTAATGTTAGGTCAACCACCAACGCTTCCATCGCAGTTGTTCCCACCAGTGAAACCGCCTCCACCACCGCCACACATTCTCCATGTGCAGCCCCCTGCTAACCCATCTCATCAAGAAGCTGTCGTCGGGCAACTGCATTCTCACATCCGCAAGTCTCCCTCTAAGATTTTAAGGGAAGGAAAAAGTGACACCATACCGGCACCGTATCCATGGGCTACTACTAGACGTGCCACAGTACATAGCCTTGAATATCTGCTAGCCAAAGGACTAACCATCATTTCCGGTCAAGTGCAGTGCAAAAAATGTGACAGACAGTATGAAATTGAATATGACTTGCAGCAAAAATTCAGGGAAGTCGCATCTTTTATTTCTGAAAACAAGGACACCATGCATGATCGAGCGCCATCAGTTTGGCTAAACCCAACTCTTCCTGATTGCGGTTTCTGTAATAAAAGGAACTGCTTGAAGCCAATTATCTCCAAGAAGAGGTCCATTAATTGGTTGTTTTTGCTGTTGGGGCAAATGCTTGGGTGCTGCCAACTAAAGGCGTTGAAATACTTTTGCAAACACACCATGAATCATAGAACAGGTGCTAAAGATCGAGTTCTATATCTTACTTACATAGATCTTTGTAACCAATTAGATGGATCTCAAGGGATCGCTTGATATTAAGTTTTCTACGTAGGGAATTACCATTGGATCTTCTCCACAACCACTGGGGAAGCCTCTTTGTTTAGTTTTACTAATATGGTCTCTGTTTTAAGTTCCTTTTCTTCTTCGTTAGTTTTTGCTTTAGATTTTCGTTCTAGCTTTATTTAATTAGTTCTTTCTGCAACATAGTTATGGCTACTTAGATGGCTAGCGCTTTTCTTTCTATCTATGCAGTTCGATGAAGCGAAAGCGAGTAGCTGTTTGTTTACGAATTGCATTAATTAGCACCTTAATTACTTGAAAGTGTTTTCATCAATCGAAAATTCTAGGTCATTGTTGAAGGAAGGGAAGGCACATGGGTATTTAAAAGTGTAATAATAATTATATTTTAAAATATATTAAAATAATATTTTTTATTTAAAAAAATTATTTTTAACATCAATTATTAAAATATTTAAAAGCATAAAAAATATATTGATTTAAAATAAAAATTAAGTATCATCCCCCACTGCAATAAAAACAACCATAAATTACCCATTATTTATCATTATACATAAATTACCCATCAATTTCATTGTTTCTTCTTTATCGTCAAATCCTTTAATATTATCATCATTATCATTAAATCCACCTCTTTCACCAACCATTATCTCTATAACCTCACAAATATATAATGAAAATAATTTTTTATCATTAATTCATTACAGACACTTTTCACTACCAGTGTATTGCATAATACCAACCGAATATTTTATTAGTACTTAAACATTGATTGATTATATTGAAATAAAACCTATAAATAAGAAAGAAAAATCAAAAGAAAATAATATTTAATTGAAAATAGGAAAAACAATAAAGACAAGAAAAAGGTGAAATAAATAGATAGTGAGAACGAAATACCTAACCCCTTTTCCATATCCTATTACCACGTACAATCATATTTTAAATCTATCCTAGGATATCTAAAAATTCCCAGCTAAATACTTCAAGATCAGGGTTGCTCTAATTTTGCATATTATTACATATAAACGTCTAGGATATTTACTATAGCGCGTTTTTTTAATCCTTATTTTTTGTCCTTTTATGCCTAAATCAAGGTATAATTTATGAAAACTTGTTAAGTTTATGGAAGATTAAAACATAGGGTATCAAAGTGTAAAACATAGAGAAATTTTAATACCAGTCTAAATTTTGATTCCAAAATCCATTTTTATCCTCTTACTTTATCTTCTCAATCTTAAAAGTCCATATAATCTATAAAATAATTAATTTTTTAATCCAAAAAGTTTATCTTTCTTATTTAATTATCAATCTCTTGATTTGAGAGAAAAAGGAATGCCATCGTGAGAAAAGAAAAAATCATTTGTTCCCATCGATTTCAATATTAGAACAATTGATTTTGATTTCAATGAGTTTAATTTTGTGTTATTAAAATGTATTTTTAATTTATTTAGCTTTGTAAGTTACATTTTTTTTAATGTTATTTAGGTATTTATAGGCAAAAATAGATCAAAATGGATTTTGATTCAAAAAGCCTAACCCATGATTTAAGTATTAGCAGATGACGCATTATCTGTTTTTTTTTTATTTTAAAAAAGGATGGCTATCCTTTATTTTTTTTTAAAAAAAAGCTTAGGTTCTGGTTATAATTCTTAGTTTTCTTTTAAAACTCAAGTGTGCTAGGCTACCTAGGCCAAGCCCACGTGCCTAGTCTCTTTTTTAATTTTTTTTGTTCTTCAATTTTCTTTTCATTCCAATTAAATCCTTTAACTTTTAAAGGAAAAAATTTTCTTTTATTTTTGTTATCATATATTTAGCAAAAAAATCAATTTAAAAAATAAAATTATTAAATTTAATAAATTCCATATCCTCGATCACGGGTTTATCAAATTATGATATGAAACCCAAGTGAATCCAATATATTGTTAATCTCTTTTTTTCATTTAAGTTTTTCTTCTAGTTTTTTTCTTTTATTTTATTTTAAAAAATAAATTTCTTTATTTTTGTTATCATATATTTAGAGGGGAGAAAATTTAAAATAAAAATTATTTAACGCAATAAAATTCATTACTCAAATCATAAATTAGTGAGTTAACCCATGAAATAAAGTTTGATCCAATATATTATTGTCTTAATATTTTTTTATATTTTGAATTTGTCTCCTTATATGTTTTATTTTATTTTTTTAGGAT